CCCGGCGTCAGCGGCGAAGTATACTTCGGTTCCATCTTCTGTTAAACCAAAACAATTTTTTTTCGGTACCGTAGCACTAGCACTACAACGGGACGCCCAGTCGTCCGTATGATCTCATCGTCGTAGCGCGAGACTTGAGCCCTTGAGGGTCATGTGCACTCGCTCAGCGTACTCTCAGAACGACGTCGGAATAAAGAGGGGCCAGTCATAACAATCTCAACTTGACGAAGATAAAAGAAAAAAGGAGGAAAGTTTGTTATAAAAGACTTTCTACCCGAGGCAAACCTCACATGTTTCGTCATGGACACCTAAGAGGCCGACACTCGCTTACTCGACCCTGCACAGCCTGTTTCTCAAATTCAACGCTGCCGTTCCATCCAGCCCGTCGGTGGAACGTCTATTTAGCTTGGCTGGGGACGTCCTTAGAAGGAAAAGTGGAAAACTCTCCAATCAAGAACTTTGAAAGTCAATTCCTTCTGCGAGCGAATAAGCTATTTTGGCGAAAACGCAAGCCATAAATAGACTGCATTTATTATAGGCTCGCAGGGTTTTTCATTGATCAAAACTGCTGTTCATTTTGCTACCACAAAAATATAAAAAAGTAACTTTGAAAGTAACTTCAAAGTAACTCGCTACTTTTTAGAGTAGTTAGTAGTTTACTCAATTACTATTACAAATGCGTAATTTCTACTCTACTCCAATTACTTTTGGGGTCGATACTCAGTAACTTAACTTAACTACCTTTTTTGAGTAATTTGTACATGTCTTACTAGGGCTTTTTAATTCGAAATCATTCATTGTCACGAAATCTTCGGAATTGAGCGGGGTTGCCCTTTAATGCAAGTGTAGGAATGTCCTTCGTGAAGAAACATATCGCCACCTCTCTTAGTAGTAACTACCTCCATTTAGAAATCGGGAGTGAGATGGGAAGCAAAAGAAATCCGTTTTTTATAATCCGGGAGCAACCGGCATGGTAAACCCTAAAACGGACTACAAAAAAAAAAAAAAGTGGGTTTAGTGGGTTTTTTCCTATTGTGAACTTCATGTTCTCGAAGTTCTTTTGTTAGTAAGGTGACCCAATAAGGTGACCCAGACAGCATGCAGGCTAAAGGCTGCATGTTGCCTTACCTTGGGGTCATTGGGACATGTTTGCGTTCCCATTCGTACAGTACTCAACCTCACTGACCTTGCGCGGATTTGGTTGGGTGACCCCCTTTCGTAACTTTCCTAACAAAACAAAATAGAAAAAAAAAAGGTTAACGATCTTGGGGTCATTGTGTGACGAACTGTCAGCGTGACGAATCATCCTATGACGAATATTCCGCGTTTACGAACGGTCCAGTTACAAATTGCCCTATGACGAATCGACATGTGACGAATGGGCCGTATCCCCTTCGATCATCATTTATTTCAGTTGGTTTTATTCATTTTAATATTTCATTTTCATTTCTGGGCGAGACAATACCGGCCTAATCGGCAAGGCTAAGTAAGTCCGCCCAAATATTTTTAATAAAACGTCATCTCTCTCTTTCTCTCTCTTTTCGCGACGCAGAATACTTCTTAATGCGACGCGACGCAGAACACTTCTTTTTGTATTTTTTTTTCCCGACTGCTTGCTGCTGACGAATGTAAGGGGTCCGAGGACCAGTCAAGCTGCCTACTGCAGCTTTTTTCCTTAGGGCCCCCCGTCATTTGATGGAAATAAAGTTATTATTATTATTATTATTATTATTAAAAATTGTAGGGTTTCCTTTGGACCAAGGCCTCTAGAGGGTGAGCTATCCCCTCCCCCCCCCCCCCCTTTCCCAGTGCTGACAGGTCGTTCAGTAACGCTATCACTTGGGCTACACGCTCAAAAGCTGCGAAAAAAAATAAAAAATCCGCGATACTGATGTAACAAGAAAAATAGACTAATAAATTTCAATAAATCTCTCACTTTTTTAATGGCGAGAGGAACAATACACTGGTGTATTGCTTTTTGTCATCGTGTTGCTGATGCGGGGACCAGCATTGTGTAAGGTGCAAGGCCGAGCGCGTTTGGGAACGGCCAAGGTGCCACTGCAACTGGCGAACATATACCAAGTTGTCTCTTGTGGAAAACAGTCTATGAAGAAAAAATACCTCGATTGGGAGTACATGAAGCATTAAAATACGATATGAAAACAAACTTCAACAAACCCTAATATGAAAAAAAAAAAGTTTATTTTCAACTCACTGCTTTATGATCTCTCAAAAATGGTACAGTAATACACTTCATCGACATACACAGCAAGCACATGACAGATATCCAGCAACATACTACGCAAAAAGACTACAAAATAGTCATAATAGAGAGTTTTAGTAGATCGTTCCCATGACTCCGATAACGATATCCCGATACTCAACCACCGCCTCCCTTGCGCATGCATAGTATCGTTATCGGGGCTATCGGAGGTATCAGAACGATCTACTAAAACTCTCTAATATATTGCGGTACAGAATCCTAACCTTTTCGCTATTGACGATGTGCACATAGTCCCGAAGGATAAGGTGCGGTTCAAAATGTCTCTCGCACACCGCTGATGTCTCGGCGAGGCGTTTATCTTCTCGATTACCATTTTTTTTCCCACCGTAGTCTGCGCGACTCCTTTTTTGGCGTACGAAACAGCGACGGCTTATAATCGCCGGTGCTCCGGCTGCTCTTGTTGACCGAGTAACCCGACTTGCATCCCGGCGCCAAGCAGTGTGTGTGTCCGTCTTTTTTCTTGGTATTTATGACCGAGACGGCAACAGAACGGTGAAGACTCCCCACCACTACACCACAAGGGAAAGTGCTATACTCTGTTTCACCTTATGATGTACCGCAGGAAAGGCTACAAGCACGAGCTCCTTGCTCTAGGGCACATCTCGGCGGCACGAGCTCTCCTGCGTTAAGAGCAGCTTCCAATGCTATAGGCTCGCGCTTCTAGCCTTCTCTGCGGTACAACATAAGGTGAAACGGAGTATAGAGTGCTACGTTCGGGAGAAGCGTACCGCCTCAGCTTCGTCTTCTTCGCTCATCGCCACATCTGTCATCTGCCACAAATTCTCCTAAGGCTCGGAACTCCAGAGCCACTCGCAGCATCTACGTTGACCGTCTTCACACGGCCCATTGTAGGCGGGCGCCGCTCTTGCCGCTACACCCTCTTGAACACTGTACTTGTGTAGCGTTAATAGCGAGAGAGGTTCTGCGTTCCATAGAAAGCAGCTTTCCTAATACTAAAATTGCCGCCTATTCTTTTTTTTCTTCTTTTTGTTTTGGTGCTTATCGCCGGGATAAAGCGAATCCTGAAGAGGAAAAAGGACGATGGACGGACCGGAGCTCGAGAGAGGCGCGCGGGATCCTATGCAAGCGTCCCCCGATCCGAAACCGGCACGAAGGTTCCAGGATTCCCCGCTATACTCCGTTTCACCTTATGTTGTACCGCAGCGCCGAGATGTGCCCTAGAGCAAGGAGCTAGCGCTTGTAGCTTTTCCTGCGGTACATCATATAAGGTGAAACAGAGTATAGTCGACATTCGATCATGCGGTCGATGTCCAGTTTTGACTGTCTTGGTCGAAAGTAGTTACGTTCCCCGACTGTGCTGATTCGTACTCGACGCGCACACGAGAGCAATCAGGAAAACAACCACGACCGCAAGACGGTACGATGCTCATCCACTACTGCGTGATGCGCGTTAAAGACCCCAGGCCAGCGGTTGTACTGCACTGGCTAAATTTCTCATCACCAGCGAGTGGCTCGTCGCAACTTCGAAATGGCTGACCAACTACGCTTTGTATAAAGATCCACACAACCCCAATTATCATTAAAAAAACCATGTCGATACGACCCTTCCTTCGTCTTTTTTTTTTCCCCCCTCAAGAGAAAATTATTGAAATATACGGATGAATGAAGGGCACTGATGGCATGGAAATAAGTTAGAATGCCGCCGAGAAGCATCGCTTGGTGGAGTAGAGACTTTTTCCTCTTTCTTGCATACATCGACGTATGAAACTTTTAAGACCCTAGGTCGAGTTTCAACAGCTAGGCTGCGTACTGTTTTTCTTTACTGCGGGGATTTTATATTTTGTGCTTTCGTTTTAGTGACAGGTTAAAATGGGTATTCCGGCAATTTCTTCGTGGTCTCCGATTTGCCTGAAAATTTGCTGAACACACCAACGTACATCGCTGAAATAGCACCTAGAATATTAGGTCAGCATTTTCTTTTCGCGAAGTTATTGAATATACAGTTTCGATCCTCACCGCATTTTTCGAACTGAAAGTCTCTAGTGGAAACAACGAAAAAGTGACGCCAGCGGAAGTGCAGGGGTTCACTCTTTGGAGAGTAGACTTTGTTCCCAACTGATTTGAAGAAGTTTCATGGTGTAACGCTGTGGAAGCTCGCTCGCTCGCGCACCAGCACGGATCAAGTGCTTGGCATAGTTTATCTTTTAGACTGCTTGCTCGACTGCCAGGCCTGCCTTCCACTGACCTCGCGGCACTGAAAAGTGCACGTATATTTGAATGTTGGTTTTTGCATCATTTTCATTTGACGATTTCGCAATAACTATTATGAATTTCACGATACTAACTACCATACCGGAAAGGGTAAACACCGGGCATTCAGAAAATATAGCTAGTTGGGGTACTTCAAAAAAATCACCGGAGTATTCCTTTAATACCGGAACGAATGATCTACCTGGTAGGCTATACTGCGCCTCCCCAGCTAGCACAACCGAGGAAATTTGCGAGCGATCGTAGCGGTCCCGATTTCCTTATCAACCCCAAAACAAGACGACTACTACAAAAAAAAAAAAAAAAAAAAAAAAAAAAAAGCTCGCTGAAGGACAGTGATGTTCGGCTTTTTTCACGGACAACGACCCGATAAGTTATCACGGCTTCCTTTCACTGACAACTACCGTATAAGTTATCACGGCTTCTTTTCACTGACGACGACCCGATAAGTTATCACACCCAGCTTCTGCTGGCGAGCTTGCCTGGCGTATTCGCATTCTCGGAGGTTCAGCGCACCAGTGACTGTTGCACCTAAGCCATTGGCAAAAAAGGACACCGATGCCACGTCCGCTGTCCTCGAACTCATTGCGCTTTTCGGCGCGTGCACCTAACCAAGCGGACATGGAATACACGTTACTGAAATAGTTACTCAATCGTTAAAACGTTAAAAAACGTTACTCAATCAAAAAGTAACAAAAAAACGTTGCTGGTTCCTTCATGTAAAAAACAAAGAAAAAACAAAACGTTACTGGTTCTTTCATGTAAAAAACATAGTCTTTAGTAAGCTATAAAAAAAAAAAAAGCAGCAGCTAGGTTCTCGCTTTAAGTAACGCGTACTTGCATAGGCTATGGTACTTGAAACGGGACAAGTGTGCCCACAACAAGTCCGCGGAAGCCGCACTAGCAGCGCTCGGCGGCAGGCAGCAGCCGCTCAGCGTGTAAACAGAGCTGCCCCGTTCACGCGGAAACTCGCCCTCTCCCAGCACTCCGAGGCCGCAGCGACTGTCCGGCCTCCGCCGCCACGCAGAGACGTTGCCGCTCGAGCGCTCTTCTTGCCTCGCCACACCGCTACCTGCCGCTGCTGCGCACGCAGCTTCATTCACGCGCCTTCCGCGTAAGGGCCAGTGGACATGGGCAGCGGCCAGGACAGACGCCGTGTCTCCACGAAAACGCCGAGTCAGCGGACCACCAGAGCGTAGGTCCCGAAACACCCGTCAAGTTCACCCGGAAATCACGCCCAGCGTCGACTCATCTCAGGTATACTATAGGCTCCTTGCACATGACGTCATTTCCGATACCCTCCAGAGAAGAGGGGAAGAAGGAGCTCCCCTCTTATCAGGACCCTCCTTTGTGCCTTCCGGATTTGCACAGGCGTCGCTATTCTCCTCCCAGAAGATTATAGAAGATTAACCGGTCACTCAAAATTCTTACAAAAGCAGCTTCCCTCTCCTCCTTTTACTTGGTGTGCAAATGTGTGCGATGTGACGTCAATGCAAGGAGCCTATACTACGTTTTCATTTCCTTCCTGTCAACTTCGGAAAGCGCTCTCGGCGTGGGACTCGGCTCTGCCATCATCGCGTGGGCGTACTGGCCCCGCGTATAGATTTATATAAGTTATTTCTTCGACGTGTTCGCGTCGGCCCGTGAGTCGCGTCCGGACGTCGTCAATCGGCTATCGCCCCGGCCGCGTACGGGTAGTTCCCGAACTTTGCCCAACGGGGGGCAATGCCTGCCAGCGCTTCCGGTGGGGGGCCCCAGCGGGTCGCTCCAGCAGCCACAGGTGACCCGAGTATATACGGCTCGCTCAGCGAGCGAGCAGGTACGGTGGGCTGCGCGCCCCTCGTCTGGGTAAAAAGACCCTGCCGGTTTGCGAGACAAATTACCTAACCCCTCTCTGGGAGGAATCTGGCGGCGCTCAGAAGCCCCCCCATTCGGTTCGGTCCTCAGGCAAGAGATGTCGAAGTCGGCGTGCCGTCGCTATTCCGCGCGCCGTTTGATTGTGACATTTAGAAGCACGTACTGCGCCGTCCCCGCCGATTGAGAGGCGAGCCCTCGCCGCGCTGTCGGGACGACCGCCGCGTGACCCGCTCTTGAACCGTGCCGCTCTGGCTAACGGGGCCGGCGGCCCGCGCTGACACCGTTCTCGCCACTGGGGCCTTCTGATACGCAGGCGGCGGCTGCAACGTCGGCGGCTCTTTCCTCGTCACAGCGCAGACCGCGGCCAAGGCGGCACCATGTGGTTCCCGGCGCTCCTGGCCCTCGCTTGCTCCTGCTGCGTCATCGCCGAGCCTAACGAGCTCGAGGACCCGTCCTACGGCGGCGTCGTCCGCGCCAGCAACGACTTCGGGCTGACCCTGTATACGACGCTCGCCAACGGTAGCGACGGAAACCTTTTCTTCTCCCCGTGGAGCCTGAGCAGGGTCTTGACGATGGTCCTCCTGGGCGCCCGCAACGAGACGGCGTCCGAGCTATCCCGGGCCCTGACGCTCGACAGCATCGGGGACGCCGACGTCGCCCTGGCAGCGCAGCGACGGCAGGCCCAGCAGTTGGGCAAGTCGGACGAACTGGCGACCACGAGCATGGCCCTCACCCGCGTCGGCGACCCGGTGTCTGCCGAGTACCTGGCCAGCCTGGACCGGTACCTGGACGACGGCGGCGTCATGCAAGTGGACTTCTCGCGCGCCGACGAGCTCCTGAACCGTGTGAACGGCGAGGTGTCGAGGCTGACCGGCGGCCGCATCCGCGACGCTCTGAGGCGATCCCCGGACCCGCTGAGCAAGCTGCTGCTCCTCAACGCCGTCCACTTCAAGGGCGTCTGGGCCAAGGCGTTCAGCCCGAACGACACGTTCGACGGAGTCTTCAGGGGCGCCACGAAGAACACGCCCGTCCGCATGATGGCCGCCAAGGGCAAGTTCAGGCTGTCATACGACGGCGCAGCCTACGTGCTCGAGCTGCCTTACACCGGGGACAGCAGCCTGGTCATCGTCCTTCCGCGCAACCGGCTGCAGAGGGACCTGCAGGACCTGGAGCATCGACTGCAGGAGCTCTTGATGGCTCCGCCGGCGGAACTGCGCTCCCTGGAGCTGGAACTGCCTCAGCTGTCGCTGCACAGCAGTCTGGACCTGAAGGACGCCCTGCAGCAGATGGGGGTGCGCGCCCTGTTCGCCGAGCACGAGGCGAACCTGAGCGGCATGCAGCCCGACGGCGGCCTCTTCGTCGAGGACGTCCACCACGAGGCGGCCCTGGATGTGGACGAGAAGGGCACGCAGGCGAGCGCGTCCACGGTGGCGGTCATCGTGAGCCGCATCGGGACGCCCCGCTTCTCCGTCGACAGGCCCTTCGTGTTTGCCCTGCGCCACGGTCCTTCGGGGCTGCTGCTCTTCGTCGGCCGAGTGCTGGACTTGTGAATACATCGAGGACGCCGGGCGTGTGCTGGACACCGGCTCCGCGCGCCCTTTCCCCGAGGTTTGTCTCAATAAATTGCGCATGGGCGGCTGCGCCGCGCGCCCCCTTATTTACCTCGGCTTGTTTTTCGTTCCAAATGGATCTGCGTCTGCTAATGGTTCACCAGCGCTTTCTGACAGTTCATGCAATCACCTGGACGAATGGCAAGAAGGAAAAACACTAATGGTCAAAAACTTTCTTTAACGTCCGTACTTTTTTTTCTTTCTACTTTTTTTTTTTTTATTCTGAGTTGCCGTTGTTCATTAAAGCGGCGATAACAAATGAAAGTGGGATCGTCGCTTTTCCGTGTATAGGAGATTTGAATCGAAGAGTCTCGTTCTTGATAAACAAACCCTCTTAGCAGCCTTACGTATCTGTGTGATGCTCACGGTCGACATTGTACTTCTTTCTGTGACAAAAGTTTCTGATACGTGCAGCTCCGTATGCAATCCGTTTCTCAATTCGAGGCAGTGGCTGTCCGCGAAAGCGCTTCCGCTTCACAGGATCAATGACCTCTCAGAGCAAAGACAGTACGCGTCTCGCTTCTGATTATGATATACTGTACATTGGAAAACCTTTGAGATGTTGAATGCCGACATACTGAAACTCGAAACGGAGGCAGAGAAGAACACGTCGTGAATCTCCATTCTTTTGGGGATCGAAGCCGCGAAACGTGTTCGCTTATTTACTCTCGTGTTGACTAATGGGAAGTATACCTGTTTAGAAGACAACTTGGAGAACATAATAGCGCTTCACGACAGGGACGAAGAGTAGGAACGAGACAACACAATGCGCTATTGCGTTCTCCAAGTTTCAGTACCAACTCGCCCAAGAATCCGCATTAGAAGACAACAGTCACCATTGGCGGGGGCCACGTTTTTTTGATACCGTTTCAATCTAGGGCGTGGCTGGACCCGAGTTGGAAGCCAAAAGCTCGATGACGCAGTGGCTGAACAAAATTCAGGTCGTATATACGCTAACGCAGCGCTCGTCACGCTGACGCAGCTAAAAGTGCGCAGCGAAAACATCGGCCGCCCTCGGATAACTGGCACAGCTGCCACGATGGATGGCCTGGCCCATATTTTTGTACAGGGCTCGTTCCTTCGATAGATACGAACTTTGAGGCGATCTTCGAACGCTCGCTTTCTTCCTTAATTTTCTTTGTATATTGTTGCGCGGAACGGTCTCGGGTCGAGTCCAACTCGGAGCCGTCTTGAGTCGCGGAACTTCCGGTATGCGAGAAGACATCGCTTTGCTCTGGTCACACCAGTGGGAGAAGCTCGCGTTTTAAACACGAGTGTCTCATTCTTGTTCCGCCTTTTCTAGATTATTTTACTCGTTCCAAGTTCTAATGCCTTCGTATTGGTCAGCTTGCACCTGTGCGGGGAGAGAAATAATTTAAAAGGAGAGAAGAGACCAGCTGACTATCAACTTGCTTTAGTAAAGCAACTTTGCGTTTTTTTTTCTTTTAGTTTTTTAAACGGAGAAAAGAGGGGCTCAAGTGCCTAGAAATAAACTGTGTTAAGGGCTCGAATTGAGCTAGTTGGTACATGCTCCGTATTGGTCAGCTTGCCCCTGTGTAGAAAGAGGAAGAATTTAAAGGAGAGAAGACAGTTTCTTCACCAAAGCAAGTCGATAGTCAGCTGGCGTCTTCTCTCCTTTTAATTCTCCGTCTCTCTACACAGGTGCAAGCTGACCAATACGAAGTATGAGCCAACTAGCTCAATTCAAGCCCTTAACACGGTGCAATGTCTTGTGTTTTGTGTTTTCTTAGTACCTTTTTTTTAAAAATTAAGTGTCTGAGGACGCCGCAAGTGAATCGTCAAGGCGCTCATCGCTTTTGTGCGTTTGCTGTTACGAACTAAACCAATCAGGTACGGCGAATCCTCCGCGATGCTTTTTATGCCCGATTGCTTTAACCGGTCCCAGCAAACCCCGAAAAAGAGCGAGCGTCGTGCACTTTTGGCGCGGCTTCATCGGATCGAAGCGTTGACCGCGGTCGGAAGTGAAACGGAGTAGAGTCGACGAGCAGACGACCAAGAAAAAGAGCACAAAAAGTGCAGCGTCACGGCACTCGTCATCTTGTCGGGGTCTGCTATTATATCGGCGAATGTAGCGCAAGGTACCTCGCGATTTCATTGAGTGTGTGTGTCGGTGTTGGTGCTAAAGGCTTCAGTTCGTACGCCTTCTAGCCTGCGCTCTTGCTTACGGTGAAACCATGTATGCACCGAGGAACTGATGGAGAGGAGAAAACGAGAAAGCACGGGAACGTCAGGACGCCGACTCGGAATGCTTGGTAAACTGTGGGTAGACCCTTGTCTCCACTGTACACGTCGAACGCGTTAGAACGCGAGAGCCGAACCCCGGAGCGTTCGACAAGTGCGCCGGAGACAAGGGCAGCTAGCTTTGGGTCTACCCACTAATCCTACCAATCGGAGCTCGGCGTTCCGACGTCTCCTCCTCTCCCTCGGTTTCTGAGCGCATGATAGCTGACGCGTGCCTCCAGAAAGAAAGCGATCCGCATGAGAACCAGTACGATTTGGAAAGAGGACGCATCTGCGTATCTCAGTCACGCGCCTTACCCGTGCACGGGTCTCGACGCCGTGATTGCGGTCCACTTTTTGTCTAACCAGTGCGACACTTGGCCGGTGACGACACCTCCCGGGCGTTTCGACAGGCAGGATACTCGCTCCAACGGCGGCCCCAATCGCCCCCGGTCCACTTTCTCCTTTCCCGCGTGGTGCGACGGTGCAATGCCCCTGAAGCTGCGCACACATCAACGCATGGTTCGAATAACCAGCCCTCTTGTCCGCATGCGCTGTGACTGCTGCGCATGCGCGAAATTCTTTTTAAAGCATGAAATGCTGGACGGAAGCGCCGAACAAACAGGGACGAAGAAGTAGACAAAGGCGTGGCGTACTTAAAACTGAAGGTTGATTGAAAGGAAACTTGCTATTAATATCGCCTATCTGGCTGCTCGCGTAGAAACAAAAAGCCCTTTACTTCCCAGGTGCAGTGACGGCGCACTGACGGACGTGGTCTCTGCTTGCCCTCTAATGCAAAATGCCTCAACAATTTCTCGGCCGGTTTTGTCTGCGGGACTCCCCGGGAGTGGTTGTTCTTCCCAACTCCGGGCTCGCATGGGCACCTATCGCAGCGCACTGCCAGATTGGCCGACGGGGAATGTCCTAATGAGCATGCATGTTCCCTTGCCCTCCCGTCTGCCTAACGGCCTAACATACGATTTTCCACAACACATGGGAATGTTGTACAGCACAGATTGCGCACAATCTACGAACTGCTTTGCGTGCTTCTTGTGGCACAGCTTGCCATCACCTCACTCTTTATTTATTTTTGAACATAGATTAGACAGCTTATTTGGAGCAGCAAACACTGTATACCGGCACCTAAAAGCCACTCTTTTTTTTCTTCTTTTTTTAATTGTGGGATACTATGAATTTACGGGATTAACGCCGGTCTCGTTTTGTTTCTAGCTGGAGTCATTATGTCCTCTCTTTTTTTCAGCTTGGTTAGCTTTTCAGGGCAGGTCCTCCCCCAAAAACGCTACCTCCCCCAAAAACCGATCGTTTTTGGGGGAGGTAGCGTTTTTGGGGGAGGACTTGCCCTGAAAAGCTCTTTTCCGCGATATGATTGGAAGACTTTGCCAGCGAGGCTCTCATTAGGCCCGACAATATAACCCTTTTTATAAGTTTAGAATGAGTAAAATTCATTGGCAGGGACCCCTTTCATTGTTCGCGGTTGATACCTCCAGCAGACATGGTCACCTTTAAAGTTGAGGCTCAAATCCAAACACCGCAGCCTTCCTTTTGTCATAGTTTTATGAGTGAACTTGAATCCATGTGAATTCTAGAGGAAGCAGATTAGTACAATGTTGATAATTTCCATGTCGACACTAACAGGCTTCGGAGCAAGCACCAAGTAATCATCTACATAACGCCAAATTGTGAATTTACGAATTTGTACAATGGCGTTGCTTGTAGCCTTATCACGCTGAGCCCCCCCCCCCCCCCCCCCCCCCCCCCCCCCCCTCCCCTCTGCCCGAAAAAAAATTATAATATGTATATGGAATCTTTCATTGAACCGCTGTTGTGCAATGTCAAATCTACCTTTGTCTTTTGGGGAGAGTGTTTACGTCCAAAGGCGAGGAACTTGTATCGGCTCCCGTGTCTCGCCTGTACTCTGTGACATATATAAATATATATATATATATATTTTTTTTTTCTTTTTTTTTTTTTGCTCAGTGTGATAAGGCAATAAGCTACGACATTATAAGAATGGGGAAGCTCACAATTTGTCGTTATGTAGAAGATTAGTTGGTGCTCGCTCCGAAGTCTGTTAATGACGACATAGAAATGACCAACGATGTACTAAACTGGTTCCCCTTGAATTCACATGGATTGAAGTTCACTCATGAAACTATGACAAAGGGAAGGCTGCAGTTTCTTTGGATTTAAGCCTTACATTTGAAATTGAAAGTGACTATGTCTGCTGGAAGTATCAACTCCGAACAAAGAAAGGGGTCCTTCCCGGCGTGTAAAAAGGGGTATAGTGCCGTGCCTCATAATAGCCTCGCTGGCAAAGTCTCTCCATCATGTCGCGGAAGAAAGATTTATGGGACAGGTGAACCGTCTTAAACCAGAAGCGGATTGCCCCCCCCCCCCCCCAGCTGCCCAAGGTAAACTTTTTTAAAATAAAACCATTGATATATAACACTCCCCCCCCCCCCCCCCTTCCCCACACCGCCGCCAGCCGAATGCCTACCGCCCCTCCCAGGCCTGACCCATAAATACACCCTTGTCTTCAGCGCGGGGGATCCCTTGATCATTTTTTGGGGCAGGTAGCAATTACCCTTGTTATTAAGCTGAAAAAAAAAGGACACAGTGACACCAGCTAGTACAATCATAATCTGTCCCACAATTAAAAGCAAAAAGGTGGCTTTACACTTTGACGTGCCGGTAGTGTTTACTGCTCCGAATAATGGATGTCAAAAAATAAATAAATAAACAGAAGATGCCACGCTGTGCCACGAGAAGCACGCAAAGGAGTTCGTGGA